AGGCTATACGCTACATCGGCAGGATAGAACGGCTGACTCCGGTAAGACAAGGGGTGGCGGTCTGTGTATATTTGTAAACAACAGCTGGTGCACAAAATCAAATACTAAGGAAGTCTCGAGGTTTTGCTCGCCTGAGGTAGAGTATCTTATGATAAGCTGTAGACCACACTATTTACCAAGAGAGTTTTCATCTATATTTTTCATAGCTGTCTATTTACCACCACAAACCAATGCTGGCATTAAGATTGCACTGAATGAGCTGTACAAGGCCATAAATCAACAGGAAAACGCTCATCCAGATGCAGCGCTCCTAGTGGCCGGGGACTTTAATGCAGGGAAACTTAAATCCGTTCTACCTAATTTCTACCAGCATGTTAAATGTGCAACCAGAGGAAAAAAAACTCTAGACCACCTTTACTCCACACACAGAGACGCATACAAAGCTCTCCCTCGCCCTCCATTTGGCAAATCTGACCCTAACTCTATCCTCCTGATTCCTGCTTATAAGCAAAAACTAAAGCAGGAAGCACCAGTGACTCGGTTAATAAAAAAGTGGTCAGATGACGCAGATGCTAAGCTACAGGACTGTTTTGCTAGCACAGACTGGAACATGTTCCGGGATTCTTCAGACAGCATTGAGGAGTACACCACATCAGTCACTGGCTTCATCAATAAGTGCATCGATGATGTCGTCCCCACAGTGACCGTACGTACATACCCCAACCAGAAGCCATGGATTACAGGAAACATCCGCACTGAGCTAAAGGGTAGAGCTGCCGCTTTCAAGGAACGGGACTCTAACCCGGACGCTTATAAGAAATCCCGCTATGCCCTCCGACGAACCATCAAACAGGCAAAGAGTCAATACAGGGCTAAGATTGAATCGTACTACACTGGCTCTGACGCTCGTCGGATGTGGCAGGGCTGGAAAACTATTACAGACTACAAAGGGAAGCACAGCCGGGAGCTACCCAGTGACACAAGCCTACCAGATGAGCTAAACCACTTCTATGCTCGCTTCGAGGCAAGCAACACTGAAGCATGCATGAGAGCACCAGCTGTTCTGGATGACTATGTGATCACGCTCTCCGTAGCCGATGTGAGTAAGACTTTTAAGCAGGTCAACATTCACAAGGCCGCAGGGCCAGATGGATTACCAGGACGTGTACTCCGAGCATGTGCTGACCAACTGGCAAGTGTCTTCACTGACATTTTCAACATGTCCCTGACTGAGTCTGTAATACCAACATGTTTCAAGCAGACCACCATAGTCCCCGTGCCCAAGGACTCTAAGATAACCTGCCTAAATGACTACCGACCCGTAGCACTGACGTCTGTAGCCATGAAGTGCTTTGAAAGGCTGGTCATGGCTCACATCAACAGCATTATCCCAGAAACCCTAGACCCACTCCAATTTGCATACCGCCCCAACAGATCCACAGATGATGCAATCTCTATTGCACTCCACACTGCCCTTTCCCACCTGGACAAGAGGAACACCTACATGAGAATGCTATTCATTGACTACAGCTCAGCATTCAACACCATAGTGCCCTCTAAGCTCATCACTAAGCTAAGGATCCTGGGACTAAACACCTCCCTCTGCAACTGGATCCTGGACTTCCTGACGGGCCGCCCCCAGGTGGTAAGGGTAGGTAACAACACATCTGCCACACTGATCCTCAACACGGGGGCCCCTCAGGGGTGCGTGCTCAGTCCCCTCCTGTACTCTCTGTTCACCCATGACTGCATGGCCAGGCACGACTCCAACACCAGCTCTCCGAGCTGGGCATCTCCGGCGCGGCTCACTCCTGGATCGCGTCCTACCTGACCGGTCGCTCCTACCAAGTGGCGTGGCGAGAAGCTGTCTCCGCACCACGTGCTCTCACCACTGGTGTCCCCCAGGGCTCAGTTCTAGGCCCTCTCCTATTCTCCCTATACACCAAGTCACTTGGCTCTGTCATATCCTCACATGGCCTCTCCTATCATTGCTACGCTGACGATACACAACTAATCTTCTCCTTTCCCCCTTCTGATAACCAGGTGGCGAATCGCATCTCTGCATGTCTGGCAGACATATCAGTATGGATGACGGATCACCACCTCAATCTGAACCTTGGCAAGACGGAGCTGCTCTTCCTCCCGGGGAAGGACTGCCCGTTCCATGATCTCGCCATCACGGTTGACAACTCCGTTGTGTCCTCCTCCCAGAGTGCGAAGAGCCTTGGCATGACCCTGGACAACACCCTGTCGTTCTCCGCTAACATCAAGGCGGTGACCCGATCCTGCAGGTTCATGCTCTACAACATTCGGAGAGTACGACCCTGCCTTACACAGGAAGCGGCACAGGTCCTAATCCAGGCACTTGTCATCTCCCGTCTGGATTATTGCAACTCGCTGTTGGCTGGGCTCCCTGCCTGTGCCATTAAACCCCTACAACTCATCCAGAATGCCGCAGCCCGTTTGGTGTTCAACCTTCCCAAGTTCTCTCACGTCACCCCGCTCCTCCGCACACTCCACTGGCTTCCAGTTGAAGCTCGCATCTGTTACAAGACCATGGTGCTTGCCTATGGAGCTGTGAGGGGATCGGCACCTCTGTACCTTCAGGCTCTGATCAGTCCCTACACCCAAAACGAGGGCATTGCGTTCATCCACCTCTGGCCTGCTGGCTCCCCTTCCTCTGCGGAAGCATAGTTCCCGCTCAGCCCAGTCAAAACTGTTCGCTGCTCTGGCACCCCAATGGTGGAACAAGCTCCCTCACGACGCCAGGACACCGGAGTCACTCACCACCTTCCGGAGACATTTGAAACCCCACCTCTTTAAGGAATACCTGGGATAGGATAAAGTAATCCTTCTACCCCCCCCCCTTACAATATCTTTTTTTTTTTTTTTAAGTGGTTATCCCACTGGCTATAGGGTGAATGCACCTATTTGTACGTCGCTCTGGATAAGAGCGTCTGCTAAATGACGTAAATGTAATCATTAAGTTTGCCGACGACACAACAGTGGTAGGCCTGATCACAGACAACGATGAGACAGCCTATAGGGAGGAGGTCAGAGACCTGGCCGTGTGGTGCCAGGACAACAACCTCTCCCTCAACGTGACCAAGACAAAGGAGATGATTGTGGACTACAGGAAAAAAGAGAGGACTGAGCACGCCCCCATTCTCATCGACGGGGCTGTAGTGGAACAGGTTGAGAGCTTCAAGTTCCTTGGTGTCCACATCACCAATGAACTATCATGGTCCAAACACACCAAGACAGTCGTGAAGAGGGCACGACAAAGCCTATTCCCCCTCAGGAGACTGAAAAGATTTGGCATGGGTCCTCAGATCCTCAAAAAATTCTACAGCTGCACCATCGAGAGCATCCTGACTGGTTGCATCACCGCCTGGTATGGCAACTGCTTGGCCTCCGACCGCAAGGCACTACGGCCCAGTACATCACTGGGGCCAAGCTTCCTGCCATCCAGGACCTCTATACCAGGCGGTGTCAGAGGAAGGCCCTCAAAATTGTCAAAGACTCCAGCCACCCTAGTCATAGACTGTTCTCCTTGCTACTGCACGGCAAGCGGTACCGGAGTGCCAAGTCTAGGTCCAAAAGACTTCTCAACAGCTTCTACCCCCAAGCCATAAGACTCCTGAACAGCTAATCATGGCTACCCGGACTATTTGCACTGCCCCCCCACCCCATCCTTTTTACGCTGCTGCTACTCTGTTAATTATTTATGCATAGTCACTTTAACTCTACCCACATGTACATATTACTTCAACTATCTCAACTAGCCGGTGCCCCCGCACATTGACTCTGCACCGGTACCCCCCTGTATATATAGCCTCCCTACTGTTATTTTATTTCTGTTTCTTTTTTTCTCAACACTTTTTTTGTTGTTTTATTTTTACTTTTTTTGTTAAAAATAAATGCACTGTTGGTTAAGGGCTGTAAGTAAGCATTTCACTGTAATGTCTGCACCTGTTGTATTCGGCGCATGTGACCAATAAAATTTGATTTGATTTTGAACACTCCACCCTCACATCGGCCCTAGAAATGAGAGGTAAAAAACAGATTTGGGATGACCTTTTTATTGTGGGCCATTGAAATGCATGGGTGTAAATATCAACAAAGAAATTTCATGGTTTACGACGCCTGTACATTACATTCTAACAAAGAAACTGATGGTCACGCTGGCGATTTCATTTAATGCGTTTCAGTATTAGAATAGACAGGCTCGCAGTGAATCAACGGCAGGGACATATTTCTCAGCAAAGGGGACAATCCATAAAAAAGATAAAGCAACTCATGACTAAAAGTTAAATTGGTTAACAATTTAAAAATCACACCTCTATCACGGTCTACATCATTTCAATACAGCCATACAATACAAGTATACAATATTATTTAATGGTTAGAAGCAATACAACCAAAAGTAAAGATGAAGATGCCAACCAACAAAACTTTTTACAGAAAATAATTTTTTAAGCAATGTGACGGTACAGTAACTCACGTCTTGTCAGGACTATCATAGCACGTCTCGTCAGGACTATCATATCATATCATGTCTTGCCAGGACTATCATACAGAAAGTGGATCTAAATACTCAGGGGAAAGAAATCATAATAATCCAATTGTCTTACTGAACATGTCCCAAAATAAGTGTACAATATGCACACTTGGAGAAATAGAAAATTAAAAGCTGTGCTGAATGTGGAAAAACAGCCAGATTGCTCCCTCTCTCATGCAGCTCCATGGTAGAAAGAATAGTCTCTGATGTTAGTCAATGAGTTCCATATTTCTGGCAATAAACTTGAAGCCGCTATGAAGGGAGGAGAGATGGGAGGTTGGGAGAGGGGTTTCATCTTTTTGAATAGTGTCACTGTTCTTCAGCCACCCAATAGGAGAAAAGTATTTATCAACAATTTCCTTCTTTCAAAGGAGGTTTGACGTGTGGCATCGTTGAGATGCTGCTGTCGGGGTGGGACTTGGGGCAGGTCTGAGGGCTCTCATTGGTTGTTTTTGGCTTTGGCGTGTGTGAGGATGTGAGACTTGAGGTTGGTTGACTGGGCAAACTTCTTATTGCAGCCGTCGAAGGGGCATACGTAGGGCCGGTCTCCGGTGTGGATACGAACGTGTGTGCGCAAGTTGAAGTCCAGCGAAAACCTCTTCCCACAGCCCTCAAATGTACACTGCTCACAGGAAGGAGACCATGGATGGACAAGAGGACAGGAGGTGTATTAGGATATAGGAGCAAATGGTAAACGTGTGCAGTTACTCTACATGCATTCGTCTTTTTGCGTCATTCTCCAAGCGAAATGTATGCAGACCAACAAGTTAAGGGACTCTTATTTTAAAACTTTGCCGTGGTAAATTTGTGAACAAACCTCGTGGTGGTTTATATGCATAGTGGTTTACCTGTTGTAAACATTCAGATAAAACAGCATATTAGACTACTGAGAAACCAGTTTTAGTACACCTAGGTATACAGTGTCAAATACAATGTGCTTGGCAGGGTTTCTCCTTTGTGGGAATGAGTTTCTGAGTGTGTGTGTGCAGGTGCGTACCTGGAAGGGTTTCTCCCCTGTGTGAACGAGTTGGTGGCGTTTGAGTTTGGAACTCTCTACGAAGGCCTTGCCACACTCGGCACAGACGTGCACACGAGGCCCGTGGGTGTGGAGATGCTTCCTCATCGCTGAGTTGTCCCTGAACATCTTAGTGCAGCCCTGACGGAGAGAGTTCAGTTATCGAGCCATGGTTCCAAGGAGACAAAGAGCACTGTCATGTTCGTCAGGTATAGATGTACTGGGAAAGAGGTAGACTGGGTGCAACGGTTCACCAAATCCACGGTTCGGTACGTATTGCAGTTTTGGGGTCACGGTTCGGTACAGCAGGAAAATTAAATGCTAACGGTTAATGTAGTTAAAAAAACCTCCAAAGTGTTGGTATACCTGATTCCATATACAATGTGTACAAAACATTAAGTACACCTAATACAGGCGGCAGGTAGCTAAGCGGTTAAGAGCGTTGGGCCAGTAACCGAAAGGTCTCTGGTTCGAATCCCTGAACCGGCAAGGTGTAAAAATCTGCCGTTCTGCTCTTGAGTAAGGCAGTTAACCCCAAACAACTGCTCACCAACTCAATATTTGGAAGGTGTTCTTAATGTATGTCTTAATGTATGATCACCTGATGAGAGCACATATAGGAATACCAACATTTGGCATTTTCTTAAATGAAAACACAATTAGTCAACACTAAAATAAAGTGCAATATCCATGTGAAATCAATATGTAAACATGGCTCAGAAATTGCATAGGCCTATGCTATAATGTTTTCTTACAAAGAGAAAAATATGCACACTTGTGCGAGTCTCATATAGGGGGCGTGTCTGTAGCATGTACTTCTCATTTCCCACTCTGGGTTAATGTGATGGGCTATCACTGTTAAGTAGCTCTCTGTAGCCCTGCAGGTCCATCCATCTGTAGTAAGCACAACAGTTCATTGACAACTTCAGCTTGCTTATATAGAGGGGCTGAAACCCCCGATTCTTCTCACCCACTGAGAATGGGCGCATATCTGCGGCTATAAACATACCCATCGCTCTTGTAATTTCATTGGCCCGGTCAGAATCAGCTGTGAAGGGCTGCTTGAATGCAGAGGAGAGACTAAGCTGTATTCTTTTTGTGTTTCCGTCTTCCGGTAGTAGGAATACTGGGTTGATATCGGCAGAAATGAGACAAAATGTTCCCAAACTGGAGATTTAAACGATGATGGAGAATCCTCCTGATTTATTGACCCCACCACTCGCCATCGTACAGAACTAGTTCCCGGCTGCGCCTCACAAAAGGACAGTTTGAAATGAGCCAGTTAAGATTCAAATTTTGATTACAACGTATGCATAGGCTCTAGATGTTTTAACAGAATAGCCTGAAATGTTTTTTCAGCTCAGGGTTAGACACGAGGCATACAACGCAGCGTAGGCATAGCCTACAGGCCTAGTGTTTTAATTTGGTATATATATTTTTTATGTATTCATTCGGGTTCACAATGCAGACTGAACAGAGGTCCCCGAATTGTTCAAGAATACATTTACCGTAACACTCCTACTGGGTTGGGGAAAAAACCGTTGGAAACAGACTACTTACTTTATGAGGGCAGGCGATTGTCCTGGGCGCGTCGTCTTCTTTTATCTTCCTCGGCTTCATCCTGAGAAAACATTGGATATGGAGTTAACTTTCAGCCTATTGCATTCACAGGGAACATAACTCAAATCATATGTTATCCATATAAAAAAATCTAATTAACCATGTTCAATTCCTAACCAGCGAATATAAACTAGCACCCATGCAAGTGTTCCAGTACCGCTGACAACAGCCGGTTCCCTCCTTTCACTGTGTTAAGGTGCTCTGTGTCAGTGTGTGTGTTGACGGTGTTCAGAGATATAAAGGCTCTCGTAGAATGGACTCTAGAACTTACCGCACTGAGTTCTGACCATAGGGACCAGCAGAGTTACTGAAGGAACTAAGAACACAACATCAGAAATAGCCGGCCTGAACGCTCCCTTCAGGAAGGAGATTAGGCTATATACCTCTGACATCTACTACAGAAATGCTGCCTCATCGAGTGCTGCCTTCCAAGACAGGCAGGCAACATGAAGAGAACCACAAATCCTGGCATCTTGCTAAACACCAATTTACAAGGTGTGCTACAAGAGAGCATAGGTGGAAATGATTTGTGTGTTAGAGTTTAGGCTATGCAATAGGGGGATTTATTTTAGTGTGTGTGTTCACTGTACATACCCTTGATGGACAGGTGAGTTTAGGCAGATAGACACTGACCTGGCAAACTCTGCCAGCTGTTTGGGGTCTGACAGGTCGATGCCAGGTATCCCTCCAGGGGGCAGCTTCTTCCCAGTCATGTATTCAGAGTAGTCCGGAGGGGAATTCTCCCCAATGATCTGTTCTTCAACAACCGACTCATGGTCGATGTCTTTTTTGTCATCTAGGATACAATGCAGGGACTTAACCGAAAATAGCCATACAAGACCGGGGTACATCGTTTGCCCAAAGGCCAGTTGATGGCGATATTGAGTCATTTCATTTGTATTTATTATGGATCACAATTAGCTGCTGCTAAGGCACCAGCTACTCTTCCTGGGGTCCAGCAAAATTAAGGCAGTTATAAAATGTTAACATTACATTCACAACAGATTTCACAACACATTAAGTGTGTGCCCTCAGGCACCTACTTTACCACCACATATCTACAACACAAAATCCATGTGTACGTGTGTGTATAGTGCGTGTGTTATCATGTTCGTATGCATGTGTTTGTGCCTATGTTTGTGTTGCTTCACAGTCCCCGCTGTTCCATAAGGTGTACTTCTCATGTTTTTTAAATCTAATTTTACTGCTTGCATGAGTTACTTGATGTGGAATAGAGTTCCATGTAGTCATGGCTCTATGTAGTACTGTGCGCCTCCCAAAGTCTGTTCTGGACTTTGGGACTGTGAAGAGACCTCTGGTGGCATGTTTTGTAGGGTATGCATGCTGTGTGCCAGTAGTTCAAACAGACAGCTCGGTGCATTCAACATGTCAATACCTCTCACAAATACAAGTAGTGATGAAGTCAATCTCTCCTCCACTTTGAGCCAGGAGAGATTGACATCCATATGAATGTTAGCTCTCTGTGTACATCTAAGGGCCAGCCGTGCTGCCCTGTACTGAGCAAATTGCAATTTTCCTAAGTCCTTCTGTGGCACCTGGCCCTGCGGCCTTGTGAATGTTGACCTGCTTAAAAGTCTTACTCACATCGGCTACGGAGAGTGTGATCACAGTCATCCGGAACAGCTGGTGCTCTCATGCATGCTTCAGTGTTGCTTGCCTCGAAGCGAGCATAGAAGTGGTTTAGCTCGTCTGGTAGGCTTGTGTCACTGGGAAGCTCGCGGCTGTGCTTCCCTTTGTAGTCTAATAGTTTTCAAGCCCTGCCACATCCGACGAGCGTCAGAGCCGGTGTAGTACGATTCAATCTTAGTCCTGTATTGACTCTTTGCCTGTTTGATGGTTCATCGGAGGGCATAGCGGGATTTCTTATAAGCGTCCGGGTTAGAGTCCCGCTCCTTGAAAACGGAAGCTCTACCCTTTAGCTCAGTGCGGATGTTTCCTGTAATCCATGGCTTCTGGTTGGGGTATGTACGTACGGTCACTGTGGGGACGACATCATCGATGCACTTATTGATGAAGCCAGTGACTGATGTGGTGTACTCCTCAATGCTATCTGAAGAATCCTGGAACATGTTCCATTCTGTGCTAGCAAAACAGTCCTGTAGCTTAGCATCTGCGTCATCTGACCACTTTTTTTCCTCTGGTTGCACATTTAACATACTGGTAGAAATTAGGTAGAACGGATTTAAGTTTCCCTGCATTAAAGTCCCCGGCCACTAGGAGCGCTGCCTCTGGATGAGCGTTTTCCTGTTGACTTATGGCCTTATACAGCTCATTCAGTGCAATCTTAATGCCAGCATTGGTTTGTGGTGGTAAATAGACAGCTATGAAAAATATAGATGAAAACCCTCTTGGTAAATAGTGTGGTCTACAGCTTATCATAAGATACTCTACCTCAGGCGAGCAAAACCTTGAGACTTCCTTAGTATTTGATTTTGTGCACCAGCTGTTGTTTACAAATATACACAGACCGCCACCCCTTGTCTTACCGGAGTCAGCCGTTCTATCCTGCCGATGTAGCGTATAGCCCGCTAGCTGTATGTTATCCATGTCGTCGTTCAGCCACGACTCGGTGAAACATAAGATATTACAGTTTTTAATGTCCCGTTGGTAGGATAACCGTAATCTTAGGTCATCCAATTTATTTTCCAATAACTGAAGATTGGCTAATAGGATTGATGGGAGCGGCAGTTTACTCGCTCGCCGTCGGATCCTTACAAGGCACCCCGACCTACGTCCACGATATCGCCGTCTCTTCCTCATGCGAATGACGAGGATTTGGGCCTTGTCGGGTGTCTGTAGGATATCCTTTGCGGCCGCCTCACTGAAGAAAAATTATTTGTCCAATACGAGGTGAGTAATCGCTGTCCTGATATCCAGAAGCTCTTTTTGGTTATAAGAGACGATGGCAGAAACATTATGTACAAAATAAATTACAAATAACGCGGAAAAACACACATAATAGTACAATTGGTTAGAGGGCTGTAAAACGGCAGCCATCTTCTCCGGCGCCATTTCGTTTCAAAGATATACCTGCTGGAGCGCATACTACGGGTGGGTGTTGCTATGGTGACCAATGAGCTAAGATAAGGCGGGGATTTGCCTAGCAGTGATTTATAGATGACCTGGAGCCAGTGGGTTTGGCGACTAAAATGTATTGAGGACGAGACAACAAGAGCGTATAGGTCACAGTGGTGGGTAGTATATGGGGCTTTGGTGACAAAACGGATGCCACTGTGATAGACTACATCCAATTTGCTGAGTAGAGTGTTGGAAGCTATTTTGTAAATGACATCGCCGAAGTCAAGGATCGGTAGGATAGTCAGTTTAACGAGGGCATGTTTGGCAGCATGAGTGAAGGAGGCTTTGTTGCGAAATAGGAAGCAGATTCTAGATTTAACTTTGGATTGGAGATGCTTAATGTGAGTCTGGAAGGATAGTTTACAGTCTAACCAGACACCTAGGTATTTGAAGTTGTCCACATATCTAGGTCAGACTCGCCGAGAGTAGTAATTCTAGTCGGGTGGGCGGGTGCCAGCAGCGTTCGATTGAAGCATGCATTTAGCTTTACTAGTGGTTAAGAGCAGTTGGAGGCTACGGAAGGAGTGTTGTATGGCATTGAAGCTCGTTTGGAGGTTTGTTAACACAGTGTCCAATGAAGGGCCAGATGTATACAAAATGGTGTCGTCTGCATAGAGGTGGATCTGAGTCACCAGCAGCAAGAGCGACATCATTGATATACACAGAAAAGAGTCGGCCCGAGAATTGAACCCTGTGGCACCCCAATAGAGACTGCCATAGGTCCAGACAACAGACCCTCCGATTTGACACATTTAACTCTATCTGAGAAGTAGTTGGTGAACCAGGTGAGGCAGTCATTTGAGAAACCAAGGCTATTTAGTCTGCCAATAAGAATGCAGTGGTTGACAGAGTCGAAAGCCTTGGCCAGGTCGATGAAGACGGCTGCACAGTACTGTCTTTTATCGACCACTCAGACAAATCGATTGGCCGGTTGAACATGGTTAGACTGTAGACTCCTAAATTGATAGTGCAGTTTGTTTAGGCGATTTTACAGCTACTAGCTACTTCACATGCTGATATTGACTATGGTATTGTGTGTAGCTATGTTTGCTAGCCAGCTCATAGAGAGCATTGCATTGTGGGTTTTGTAGTCAACTTGAGCTGCAACAGATTTCCACATGTTGCTACCAACCTTATTATAAATGACAAAATGAAAAATTTGTTCACAAAAAATATTGTTCTCACATAAACGAAAGTAGGGTGGTTGGGTGTGTGTATAATGCAAACGTCTAGCAACCCAAAGGTTGCGAGTTTGAATATCATCACGGACAACTTTAGCAACTTTAAGTACTTACTACTTTAAAGCTACTTTGCAACTATGCTAGCTAACATTAACCTAACTCCTAAACTTAACCCTAACCATAACCACTAGCCTAACTAATGTTAGCCAGCTTGATAATGTTAGCCACCTAGCTAGAATTCATAGAATATACGTTTAGCAAATTCTTAACATATTGTACGTTTTGCTAATTCGTGCCATTAACTATAGTTATGGAGGAAATCAAGGCGGTTGCAGCCTGAATGGAGAATGTTTTCGGTACGAAACGGTCCACGGGGACGTGAGTGTATTGCCGGCTGCATACAATGCGTTTGGACGGTAAGGTGAAACGACTCAACATCGCCATCTGCCGGCCTTTGGGCTAAATTGCAGTTTGAAAACAGCCATACAAAAAAACACCGCAGCAATATTTCTAGACATTGTAGTTAACGTTAGTAGTATGGCTTTGTTTTTACCAACAGAAGCAATACAATGTATACAATCATTGCTGCTGATTAAAATAATGATGAACATGCATCACCTTGATCCCCCTGCACCGTTTATCAGCCAACATAGTTTCTTGCTCTGCTGCTAGTCGCATCTTGGTAGCCACAAACCGGGATGATGGGCTTACTAGCTAGCCTAGCACGCGAACGGATAATGTTTATCAATCATGCTGAATCCAAATGCGGATAAACAGTGCCTGTACAATGCAAGCTGTGTAGGGTCGTCTTTAGAACGTTTACTAGCTTGTGTTGCTAGCCAGCTAGCTACTTGATTGAGAACTCGCTAGTTGTCGCGTGTAAAATCTGTAACAGTTAAAAACAATTGGTAGTTAACGTTAGCTGGTTAGCTATGCAGGCGAAACGCGTCAATGGGCGTAACGTTAGCTAGAAAGATAAACGTATTTGGACAATATATTTGGCCTGCCGTTTAAATCTAACAAAACTCAACTGGTTCTAAATTACAGGGTTACTGACCCAGATACTGTAATCACGGCTGCGGTAACTAGTTATCCGCATAGCTAATGTAAGCCACCTAACTAGCTAGCAGTAGAAAATAGCTAGTTACGCCATCCGGGCCTACTCTCTGGAGCCAGCAGCGCGCTTGCTCCCCCAACCGCCGCCATCTTCGCCCGGCCATACTGCTTCTTGGGGAACATGGCGGCGCCCAGCAACATCTAAAAACATGGCCTCCCTTCAAAACAAAAACATTTCAATCTAACTGACACGCATTTCTGCAACGGAAACTTCTAAAAGTGATCCCGAAAGTGGCCTGACGATCTACCCGAGGAAATAGACTGGTGCAAAAGGACTACGCCCTGCAACAAGGCCTCTTGGCAAGTGTCTTGCACAAGTTAACTACCAAGCATAGCTAGTTAGCTACAGTAACATTAGATAGAACCGACCACTTACCCGAAGCCCACATTGTAACAGAGAATTCCCCCTCCAGAGTCTTTATTTGTACCTGCTTCTGTTCCCATTTTCTACCGCTTGGTTCTGCAGCACCCAAATAGCTCTTTTTGTTAGTTTTTTTGCCACTGCCGCCTACCCCTCTCTTCATCCGACCCACCGAGTTTTTCCCTGTTACAGTCACCAGAGTCTGTTCGATGTACTCGTCTTCCACGCCGGGTGCTGGGACGGGGATGAGGATTTGATCCTCGTAACCCCCGTCCGCATGCATATCTGAATCATCCCCGCCAACAACTTCCTCTCTTGTCTGCACTAGGATCACTTCTTGATGGTGGTGGTGGATCGAATTCGGGTCCTCTGATGCCAGCGGCTGAAGTGCTATCATCGGCTGGTCGTCGTCGTCTCCCCCGACCACTGTAGTCTCGATAGTTTCCACCTCTATCTCCTGCAACTCCACTATTTCGGCCGGCATCTCCGAGCCGTCCGCCTCAATATACAGCGTATCGCCGGATGCCATATTGAATTCTACCAGCTTGCTTCTCACCCACCTGTGCTGTGTTGTGTTCCTTTGCCCCACAAACACAAACACACCCCCTGCTCCTGTTCTCTCCCTCTTCGATACGCAGTATATTGAGCGTCAATTATATTGAGAAGATAGTCGTGTGACCGCTCTAACAATGAAAATACATGTCCTGAAAGATGGGAGGAGGCTAGATCAGGTGGGACCATTCTAGCCAATGAGAGGGCATATACACGTGTGAACAACTCCGATATGACACTTGCGTCCACTTATACCAGTGCATTCGTAACAATCTAATCATGACGGAACTTATATTCGATCAAATCAGCAATTACATTTTTTGTTGTCTAAATTCAACACTCTCTTGACCTCCATAAAAAAATTCCTCACTTTGTGGACAGATTTTGGGTGGAGTAAACACTGTCGCTTCGCCTTTTCCTCTCTGATAACACAAATAACTCCGTCCCACACAACCAATTCCGACACCACAAACATCGCGAGATTTATATGTGGTCTGGTGGCATTAGGCCGATCTAATCCATTGGGTGTATTTCATACAGTTTCATAGGCTTGTTGAATGTTTAATATTACCTTACGTAGTGATGGATATATTGCAGTTGTCTTTTGTTCCTATATATCTGGTCTTTTAGCGTCCTCCTAATCTGACCTCTAGGTGTCACTATACTCAAGGGGACAAATACCTCTCAATCCAGACAGTTGTGTATCACCTCTTGTGATGCAGTTATGCATCTGCATTACATGTCCTGCATACTGACTGATGAGTTTATTAATATCAGGAGGGTTCAAAGCCATGTTACAGAAAGTCAGATAGAAGTGTATGGACTAGTACAGATGGGGTTCTCCGTCATGTAGGGAATCATTCAACCCTATACTTATCAATTCTCTAAATTGATCCCCAATGAATATGCCACAGGATAGTGTTATGTGTTGTTAGAAAGTATGACTAAAACAGAGATATGTTAAAAGGAACAGCAGTTTTTTTTTTTTTACCAGGAAGCACTTGGTCATAAAAGGAAATAATAAAATGAACTATACTTCACCATATCGTTGCAGCCAATAAACATTTTATTAACAACATAATCACACATACTCTGGTGTATTAATGTATTTTTTGTTCATAAGATTGCAATATCCAAAGAGCGATAGTTATATACCACCCTCCCTTTCAGGTTCAAGACCTATTTTTAAAAATCTTTCAGTCAGTGATTACACACACACACACACACACACACACACACACACACACAACTGTTGGCGAAAAGGATACAAAACTATTTTGAAAATGTTGAGGTCAGGTCATGAGAAAGAAATCCGTATGTGCTTATAATTGTATTTTAAAATAAAATCAAAAGGGAAAAAAATAACAATATAAAAAATAAAAAGGCTGACATAAAATGATGTGCAATTATTATTTTCATCATTATCATTATCATTATCATCAGTGTCATTATCATTATTATTTTGTTACTATTGTCGTCACTAAAACTACTACTACTTATATTCACACCATATGTAACTGTGTTGTTGTTGTTTTTATCGCACTGCTTTGCTTTATCTTGGCCAGGTCGCAGTTGTAAATGAGAACTTGTTCTCAACTGGCTTACCTGGTTAAATAAAGGTTAAATAAAAATAAAATTACATCTACAATAATAAAAATAATAGTAATATTAATGACAATGATAGTAATAATAATGCCAACATTTTTATAAATAAAAACTCCTAAAAAAAGAAGATGTTACTTAATTGAATTTCATAATTGTTTCCTTCAAGACTGGAAACAAAACAGCAAACATTGGTTACCGATGGACAGATAGAGAAATAAAAAAAGAGAGAAAAACAAGAGCAGAGAAACAGAAAAAATCAGTGCGAGAGTGTCCTCCATCCATCCCATTCTTCCAAACGTAACGTGAACAAAATGTTCCTGTTGTGTTACAGCAACATTGTCTCGTTGCTTCAACATCACAGCAACGTAGAATAAATAAATGGTTGTAGTTCGGGCCTCGATCCTCTCCTTGCCTCCTCAGACACGGCAGTATTTGCCGTGGGGACGATGGTTCCAAAAGGTAGGGTCATATGAAAGATTATGTCGTGCTGATTCTGCTCAGTTCTTGTCTAATGACTGGAAGAGAGTGAAGACACAAGAGGAGTGTTACCGGTCTTGTTATGGACATAAGAGGTGCTGTCCTGTCAGAGACCAACTCTAGTATATCAGCAGTATTACTTTCAATATCTCTGTCTCTAGTGCCATCTGGTGGATAACATGTCTCACTTCTCCTTCTCTACCAATAACAACCTAATTTGGTAAGTTCCAAACATAAGTGTAGTGAACTACCTACTATAGAGATATTATCCACAGGCAGTACATTTCCTATCAACACATTCTTGGATGAGGTGAATGAGGAACTCAGAGATATAACGTACCATCAATGATCTCATCCTTCACCTTGTGCAATTCACGAAAAACTTCTTCCAAGATTTCCTGTTTCATGAACAAAAAGTTAATCATAACAGGTATATGTTTTCATATTCACAAAGTGTATGTGCCAATGATTGACTGTAGGGCTCTTTACCTGCTTCATTCTGTCAAAGTCTAAGGCATCTGTGTCACTGCTACTCCCCACAGGTCGTACCCTACAGAAACCAAGGAAAACACTCTCACACTTACACACATAACATAGTATCTCAATATATATATTTTACAAATGCACAGAGAGCGAACATGCAAGTGAAAAATAATGCATTAAGTGTACAGAGAGAAATGTGTACAGTCCTTTACACAGTTAACCAGCCAATCTCTTGATTACATAACCTAAGTTTAAGACCTTAGTTGGCAGACTGACTTAGTCCCTCAGGTTCTCACCTTGATACCAGTGATGACCTCTCTGCAGAGTTGGCTCTGTCCCACGGCTTCTTCACGCCATCTGAGAGTGGAAGGAGTAGAGAAGACAGGGGTAAGGGGAAGAAAAACCTTACCTCAACATGTCAATTGTACATGTACATACAGTTGAAGTCGGAAGTTTACATACACTTAGGTTGGAGTCATTAAAACTCGTTTTTCAACCATTCCACACATTTCTTGTTAACAAACTATAGTTTTGGCAGGTCGGTTAGGACATCTACTTTCTGCATGACACAAGTCATCTTTCCAACAATTGTTTACAGACAGATTTTTTCACTTATAATTCACTGTATCACAATTCCAGTGGGTCAGAAGTTTACATACACTAAGTTGACTGTGCCTTTAAACAGCTTGGAAAATTCCAGAAAATGATGTCATGGCTTTAGAAGCTTCTGATAGGCTAATTGACATTATTTGAGTCAATTGGAGGTGTACCTGTGGATGTATTTCAAGGCCTACCTTCAAACTCAGCGCCTTTTAGCTTGACATCATGGGAAAATAAAAAGAAATCAGCCAAGACCTCAGAAAAATAAATTGTAGACCTCCACAAGTCTGGTTCATCATTGAGAGCAATTTCCAAACGCCTGAAGGTACCATGTTCATCTGTACAAACAATAGTACGCAAGTATAAACACCATGGGACCACGCAGCCGTCATACCGCTCAGGAAGGAGACGCGTTCTGTCTCCTAGAGATGAACGTACTTTGGTGCGAAAAGTGCAAATCAATCCCAGAACAACAGCAAAGGACCTTGTGAAGATGCTGGAGGAAACAGGTACAAAAGTATCTATATCCACAGTAAAACAAGTCCTATATCGACATAACCTGAAAGGCCGCTCAGCAAGGAAGAAACCACTGCTCCAAAACCGCCATAAAAAAGCCAGACTACGGTTTGCAACTTCACATGGGGACAAAGATCGTACCTTTTGGAGCAATGTCCTCTGGTCTGATGAAACAAAAATAGAACTGTTTGGCCATAATGACCATTGTTATGTTTGGAGGAAAAAGGGGGTTGTTTGCAAGCCGAAGAACACCATCCCAACTGTGAAGCACGGGGGTGGCAGCATCATGCTGTGGGGGTGCTTTGCTGCAGGAGGGACTGGTGCACTTCACAAAATAGATGGCATCATAAGGAAGGAAAATTATGTGGATATATTGAAGCAACATCTCAAGACATCAGTCAGAAAGTTAAAGCTTGCTCGCAAAAACCCCAAGCGTACTTCCAAAGTTGTGGCAAAATGGCTTAAGGACAACAAAGTTAAGGTATTGGAGTGGCCATCACAAAGCCCTGACCTCAATCCTATAGAAAATTTGTTGGCAGAACTGAAAAAGCGTGTGCGAGCAAGGAGACCTACAAACCTGACTCAGTTACACCAGCTCTGTCAGGAGGAATGGGCCAAAATTCACCCAACTTATTGTGGGAAGCTTGTGGAAGGCTACCCGAAATGTTTGACCCAAGTTAAACAATTTAAAGGCAATGCTACCAAATACTAATTGAGTGTATGTAAACTTCTGACCCACTGGGAATGTTATGAAATAAATAAAAGCTGAAATAAATAATTCTCTCTACTATTATTCTGACATTTCACATTCTTAAAATAAAGTGGTGATCCTAACTAACCTAAAACAGGGAATTTTTACTATTTATTTTTTTAGTCATTTAGCAGACACTTTTATCCAGAGCGACTTACAGTTAGTGAGTGCATACATTTTTCATACTGACCCCCGTTGGAATCGAACCCACAACCCTGGCGTTGCAAACACCATGCTCTACCAACTGAGCTATACGGGATGATTGAATGTCAGGAATTGTGAAAAACTGAGTTTAAATGTATTTGGCTAAGGTGTATGTAAACTTCCGACTTCAACTGTATATATATATATATATTGTGGTATATAGTATATATTGTGGTATTCTTGTGTAGTGTATATATTGTGGTGTATTTGTGTTGTATACGTCTGAAACCCTACCTCTTCAAGGAGGATCTTAAATAACTAGTCTTTTCCTACTGGCACTGACTTTGCTGATAACTACTTTACTGAGGGAAAATGTGCCTGTTATGACTGTGATATGTGGTTGTCTCACCTAGCTATCTTAAGATGAATGCACTAATTGTAAGTCGCGTCTGCTAAATTACAAAAATGTAAATATATATATATATATATATATATATATATATATATATATATATATATATAAACTGTATATGACTGGAGTACCTGTGGCGTTCTGTCCACCCCTGATGCCGGGTGAAGGGGACCCATTGGGGTCATCCTGCAAAACAACAGGAGAAAGATATTGAGGTCAACTAAGGAGAAGTGAGTCATAAAGGTAATGATAAAAATAGTCATAAGTCAGTGTTTTATCATCAGTTAGCATCACCCACGTTTTGGTTGTCTTCAGGCTTCTCTGATGCTGCTTTCCTTCTGGGGCAAGAAGAAGCCTCAAGTCAGAGCCTCATTCAGTTTGATATCAAAGTTGTACATTCAACATGTCCACTCCACATATGACTAGACATTATTTTGAATAGAAATGTCTGTTGTTCTAACAAGAGGGCTACATTCCTGTGGGACCTGCGGGTCCAGATAGAGATCATTGCGGCGCTGTCAGCATTTTTCATGCTGTGTTTGGGAGCGGGTGGTCAGACAGGCGACTTTGGGATGAAAATATTTCTGTTGTCCTGCAGATTATTTTGAAACGTTCGTCTTTCTGCTTTGTATACGTTAGAATACCTATTGTATTAAAAGCATATCTTTGTTGCATTATTCACACACTCAGAATTCGCTGCTTCATGTTAAGTAGCCTACCTCTCCTTTCCTAGTTGGGCGTGCAAGATCAAGTGGGCCTAGTATATGTGTGGTCTCAATTAAATAGAGTACCACAGTATGAGTCATAATACCCATAAAACCTAGTGGTCAAACAAGGAAATGGTTCCAATCGTTTTTCCACCATTCATTTTTCCCATTAAAATGAGGCTTAAAATATGGGCTGTGTTTCGTGTAGGCTTACCCTGGCGTGACGTTTTGATAACCGTGTAAATCTCTCTAGGACAAGGTGACTTTTATCAATATATTCGCCTGTATTTACTCCCCCAAAATGTAATGCTAATTAGCTGCTAATGTGATTATCATAAAGAACTATAAATGCCATGAAGATCTGGACGAGACTGCCGAATCGAGGCAAAGGTAAGAGAATCTCTGGATTAACTATCTAATGTTCGCTACATTTAGTAATGAATATATTAGCTAAATTTCTTTAAATTGACAATTCTGTGAACAGTCTTGTGCAAGTTTTAAATTGACACAATACCTGTTAACAACGGTGTCAGCTAGAGATGAAGTGCAGGAGCTTGCAGGGATTTGTAGTCTTGCATGATGACTACTTTGATACTAATTAGCATTTTCGAATCTGAGAGTAAATAGAGCAGAATATATTGATAAAAGTCATCTTGTCCGAGAGAGATTTACACGGTTATCAAAACGTCACGCCAGGGTAAGCCTACACGAAACACAGCCCTTATTTGAAGTGTTTCTAAAATTAATGGAACCATTTCCCTGTTTGACTGCTAGGTTTTATGGGTGTTGTGACACCTCCACTGTGGGGCTCTATAGAGTGGGTTGCCTATGCATGGACTGAGAGTCATGTGGCAGTTATCTTTCCAAGGAAATTAAGTTAAAAATGATTAGACTATAGTTTACTACAGTGTCTGTAAATAAATATTGATAATGCAAAACAGTGGAGGGCGCTCAACCAACGTGAGTCGAGGTGCAATCCAAAAATGTTATCATTGGAAAAGAAAAGGCGCAATGTGTGCTTAGGCTACTATGGTGAGCGAGCATTGCGCCTTTTAATTTTCAATAAATATTGATTACCCATGTATGTGCCTGCATATTGTCCTCCTAAAAGGTAGGCTATATCCTATATGAAAAAAGTAGCTCAAAAGAAGTGCAAGTGTCCACTCATCATTCTTGCTGCTTCAAGTTCAGTAGCCTATGCATGGGCAGAGAAGCACGGGGAAGTTATCTTTCCAAGGAAATGTACTTCATAAATATGATTAGGCTATAGTTTACTACATTGCCTGGAAATAAATATTGATCACTCATATTTGTCTCTGTCTGAAAATTGTCCCACTCCTAAAAGGTAGGCTATAAAACGTAGCTAATTAGAAAGTGCAAGTCTCTCCAACTCTGCTCTCTTCAAACCACATCTAGCCTATTGGCTGATATAGACCAGTAATACAGATAGCCTAATATAATGGACTACGTGAGAATCTCTGTTAATTAAATACATTTCTTAGGTTATTTTTGCGCATTTTGATATTGCCTATAGGGCGCATCATCGCTGCGACATGGCTGCCAAGTGAGTTGCGTCACATACGCCTAAAATAACATTGCAGGACTGCAGTTGGGTTCGGGACCAGTTCTTGCTGTAGCGGGTAGGAGTCGGACAGAAAGCCAGTGGGTGTGGGCGGGTGCGGTATGAAAAACTGAGGGTGTGGGTGGGAGCGGGATGAATAAATCAGTCCCGCGCAGACCTCTAGTTCTAACTCTATGCTCTGAATAGGAATGCCTGCTCTAGTGTTTCTAACTCTATGCTCTGACCTTCGCGCCAGCAGAGCGTTCATCTCCTCCATCAGTCCCCCACTGCCGCCACTCGTCCGGTTGGCTTCGTTTTTGGTCCCTGATCCTGAAGAGTTAGAGTCCTCAGGCTGTAGAGAGAAGAGAGAGAGACACACAGTATGGTAGGAGAGGATAGACCAGAGAGTGTGTTATGTAACCTAGTTGTAAGGGGGGAGAACAAGTTAATGGTCTAAAGGGGCCTCCTTAACCTATTTAATCTCCACTGATATGAAAGAGCTGGGCTTGGTGAACATTGTGCTTTCACCTATCCTATGTTGAGATCAGTGCAGATGAAGGAAAGAAGAGGAGGAGAGAAGGTGACTTTAGACCAGTGGTCACCAACCTTTTCTGAGTCAAGATCACTTTTCTCAGTCAAAAAGCAAGCCGAGATTTACCGCTCATGACTTACATTTTTTAACATTAACCTCATAAAAACAGTTCTGTAAGAATGGGGTTTGTGCAGTAGGCCTAATACATTATCACAGCATATTGGCTCTATGCTTGGCCTGCCAATATTGTTCTTCTCAGACCATATTATATTTCAAAACTCGAGCGTTGATAACAAAATAGATCAATTAGTGTAGCACTTGCGAGGCACAGCTGAGTATAAATTGAAATAATTTGCAAATAATGTGCTTTTTTTATTTTACTGGACTGATGATACCTACATCTGACGGTCATGATGATTTCAAGACAACTGGGAACTCGAAAAAAAATAGAAGTAAAATCATGACTTCAGTTGGATGACTGTTCAAAACGATTTTTCCCAGTCAGATCTCGTTTTATTCTGAGTTCCCAGTTGTCGTGAACGAACTGAAGTCGGAGATGTCCTATTTCCGAGTTCCCAGTTGTTTTGTACACGGCATTAGTCTCAGCGGCGGGAGAGAGAGAGAAGCAGAGGATCCGCCTCTCACGGTCCCTGCTCGCTCCTTCCTTTCCTCCAGTGAGACTGCCCAGAGAGAGGGGACACCGTCTTCCACCTCATGGCGAAACTCGAGTCGCACCATTTTTGGCCCCCCCAGTTTTATAATTGCAAAAAACAGCATCAGTGTACTTTAGGACCATGCGGACGCCTTAGAGCGGTCGGGTAGGCTGTTTGGCGGTATCAGACAGCTGGATATAGGACCCTGCGGACACCACAGAGCATACGAACAGAGGCAGCTGTTGTCTGTGTGTAATGTGCTTTTTCTCCAAATTGTAAAAGCAAGCAGAGCAGAAACTGGCTACTCCTAATTTGACTGATGTAGCTGGCAAGGTAACTGCTGTTTGTGTTAACAAAAAAAAGGATTTATTCCCAGTGCTGAGTTAGTAGTGTAACTGACATGTAACGTTAGCTAATGCATTACATGTTTCATCCCCTCTCGACTGAGGTTCTGTCTGAAGTGTATGACCTAGCTAGTTAGTTAGCTACTAGCTACCACAGCCAGTTCAGCTCAAGCTATCTGTCAGGTAGCAGTATCTAACAGCTGTTGTGTGTATGTAATGTTTTGTAGCCTTTGTTTTGTCCCGTTTCAACAGAAGTAAATTAACTTGGCACATTTTTGCCAGTTGATTTAAAGTGCATTCAGAAAGTATTCAGACCCCTTCACTTTTTACACATTTTGTTACATTACAACCTTATTCTTTTTTTATCCTCATCAATCTACACACAATACCAAATATTGAGAAAGCAAAAACAGGTTTTTAGAATTTTTTGCCAATTATTAAAAATAAAAAACAGAAATACCTTATTTACATAAGTATTCAGACCATTTGCTATGAGACTCGACATTGAGCTCAGGTGCATCCTGTTTCAATTGATCATCCTTGAGATGTTTCTGCAACTTCAATGGAGTCCACCTGTGGTAAATTCAATTGATTGGACATGATTTGGAAAGGCACACACCTGTCTATATATGGTCCCACAGTTGACAGTGCATGTCATAGCAAAAACCAAGCCATGAGGTCGAGGAATTGTCCGTAGAGCTCCGAGACAGACTTGTGTCGAGGCACAGATCTGGGGAAGGGTACCAAAAAATTTCTGCAGCATTGAAGGTCCCCAAGAACACAGTGGCCTCCATCATTCTTAAATGGAAGAAGTTTGGAACCACCAAGACCCTTCCTAGAGCTGGCTACCCGGCCAAACTGAGCAATCGGGGAGAAGGGCCTTGGTCAGGGAGGTGACCAAGAACCTGATGGTCACTCTGACAGAGCTCCAGAGTTCCTCTGTGGAGATGGGATAACCTTCCAGAAGGACAACCATCTCTGCAGCACTCCACCAATAAGGCCTTTATCGTAGAGTGGCCAGACGGAAGCCACTCCTCAGTAAAAAGCACATGACAGAATGCTTGGAGTATGCCAAAAGGCACCTAAAGGACTCTCAGACCATGAGAAACAAGATTCTCTGGTCTGATGAAACCAAGATTGAACTCTTTGGCCTGAATGCGAAGCGTCATGTCTGGAGGAAACCTGGCACCGCTCATCACCTGGCCAATACAATCCCTACGGGGAAGCATGGTGGTGGCAGCATCATGCTGTGTGAATGATTTTCCGTGGCAGGGACTAGGAGACTAGTCAGGATCGAGGGAAAGATGAATGGAGCAAAGTACAGAGAGATCCTTGATGAAAACCTGCTCCAGAGTGCTCAGGACCTCAGACTGGGGCGAAGGTTCACCTTCCAACAGGACAATGACCCTAAGCACACAGCCAAGACAACGCAGGAGTGGCTTCGGGACAAGTCTCTGAATGTCCTTGAGTGGCCCAGCCAGAGCACGGACTTGAACCCAATCAAACATCTCTGGAGAGACCTGAAAATAGCTGTGCAGCGACGCTCCCCATCTAACCTGACAGAGCTTGAGAGGATCTGCAGAGAAGAATGGGAGAAACTCCCCAAATACAGGTGTGCCAAGCATGTAGTGTCATACCCAAGAAGACTCGAGGCTGTAATCGCTGCCAAAGGTGCTTCAACAAAGTACTGAGTAAAGGGTCTGAATACTTTTGTAAATGTGATATTTCAGTTTTTGCTTGCCATTATGGGGGAAAAAAATGATTTAATCAATTTTATAATAAGGCTGTAGCGTAACAAAATGTGGAAAAAGTAAAGGGTTCTAAATACTTTCCGAATGCACTGTACCATTAGATCTAGCCAAAAGTTGACTAACGTTAGCGAGCTCACTGACTTTAGCTATTATTTTTGCCTCAATCACACTAGACTTGAATCAAACGATGAAACCAGCAGCCAAACGATTGAAGACCGATATTCTGACATCTTTTGACAGCGCAATGTGAGTCAGTATAGCAATGTAACATAATTGATCTGTCAGTTTCCCTAGCTAATTCCCTACTTTTCACACTGACACGTTATAAACAGCTCTACGGGTTTCACTGTCATGGTCACAGTCAGTACACAACACTATGCTCATCATGTCTTAGCAGGACCAGATGATGACAGGTGTCCCAGCAGGGTCAGACAGCCAGGGAAGACCAGTCTACAGAGCTCAGGTGAATGTTGAATGATATTTTAACAACCAGTGAATGGATACAAAGTTCCATCTTGAGTTGATGGTCATTTCTATTATTGAACCATTATGTTATCCAAGAATAGAATCAATGTATAAATGTACACCAAGGTCATTCTTTGTCATGCCTCATCTGAGCAGGAGCAGATGGTGACAGGGGTCTCAGCAGGGTCAGGCAATCAGGGAAGACCAGTCTGTGAACTTTTGCAGATACATCATTCTATTCTCTCTAAGCAGCAAACACTGGACAAGCCAGAAGCTTCAAAGATTGAAACTATTTTAAGGCAGTCTGACAAACCTCTAAAGTTGATTTCCAATCCAAACTGTATAAAGGGTTGATATAGGCTTTTCCCGATGACACAAAACATGTCAAACAAAAATATGAGGAAGACCTGGGAGACACTATTGATGATGATGAATGGATATGTCACGATCGTCAGGGAGAGACCAATGCGCAGCGTGTTGAACGAACATAGTGA